CTGGGAGGGAGCACAGCAAGGACAGCTAACCCAAACTGACCGAAGAGCTGTTCCATACTATAAAACATCATGCTCAGGGGGGGTTAGTTGGTCACTCGGGGGGAGAGGGATTGCGGCCTGGGGAGCAGGCATCGGTCAGTGGGTGGTGAGCAATTGCACTGTGCATCACTTGTTTTGTGTATTCTGTATATTCTCTTACCATTATTATTACTATTGTTATTATTTCCTCTTATTAAACTGTCTCTATCTCAACCCACGGATCTTACTTTTTTTCCCAATTGTCTCCCCCATCCCACTGAGGGACGGGGTGGGGACTGAGCGAGCAGCTGCGTGGTGCTTAGTTGCCAGCCAGGTCACCTTCTCATTGTAGATCTCCCCCTGCAGCACCTCAGGCGCCATCCAGTATGGGGAGCCCACCACGGCCAGGGGCTCCTTCTCGCTGCCCTCGCTGGGGGACATGGTGGGACATCAGGGGCTGCCCACAGTCCCTTGTCTCTGTCTGACCTCCCATCCTCCCACTGGGGCAGCCAAAATCACCATCTCCATCTCCCTTCCTGGGCTAACCCCCCTTCCATGCATCCCACAAGCTCACCTCTCCCCACCCACACCATCTCCTTCTCCATCGCCTTCTAGCCAGCCTCAAATGTGTCCACCTGCCCCATGAGATCCCACCACTGGGGACCAACCCCATCGCCCCCATCCCTGACCTTCTAGCTGCATCCCAAATATCCATCCCTCCCCAGCTCCTGCTCCAAGTGGGCTGGAAACCCCCCACTCCAAGGATGGGGACAGACAGGTGGACACTGCCCACGCACCTGTAGGTGGGGATCTTCTCCGCCAAGCCGAAGTCACCCACCACAGCCGTGTAGCCGTTGCCCTCGCAGCGCACCAGGCAGTTCTGGGGGCAGAGGAGGACCCCCGTCACACCCACTGCACCAGCCCTGCCCCTCTGGCCACTGCTCCCCGGATGCCCCGGCACAGCGCAGCCTCCTGCTCCCCAGCTGGCCATGCCTGGGGCAGCAATGTGGGTATGGGACGAGGGCAGTGGGATGCCTCGGAGCACGCTGTACCTTGGAGGTGAGGTCACGGTGGAAGATGCCCTTGGAGTGCAGGTAGCGCAGGCCACGGGCGATGTCGAGGGCCAGCTTGACACGCATGGACCAGGAGAGGGGCACGGGGCTGTCCAGCAGCTGCTCCAGGTTCCCACCGTTGATGTACTGATGGGAAGAGCCAGGCCATCGTGTTGGTATGTCCCCCTTCCCTCCCATAATGCTGGATCTCTCATCCCAACACATCCCTCAAGCACCCCAAGGCACAGTGCCCCCGTAGACCTTGCCCTGCACGTGTGCCACAAGCTGTGAAAGTGTCCCCATACCCATCACTGTCCCCTCCCCGGGTCTGCAGGAACCCCAAGACTCACAGCCACCGCCCCGCTCTCACCTCTGTCAGCGCGTGCAGTTGTCCCTGGTGCACGCACACCCCCATGAACCTGCAAGACAAAAGGGACCTGAGGTTGGTCGTGGTGGGGACCAGCCCCAGGAGCTCATCCAGGACCGATGGCAGCTGCAAACCCCCCAGGCTAGGGAAAAGGGGAGAAACAGGGATGGCAGTGGGGGAGCAGGTCCTACCTGAGGATGTTGGGGTGCGAGAGGCGGTTCATCAGCTGCACCTCCCGCAGCATGTTGCCCCGGTTGCTGGTCAGCTTGTTCATCTTCAGCACCATGATCTGCCCCGACTGGCGGTGCCGCACCTGGAGGGGGGTGCAGGGGAGGCTGAGCCCCATGTGTCTCTGCAGCCCTCCTGGACAGCAGCCCGTACCTGCTACCCACCCCAGCCCAAGGGGCAGGAGCCGAGCACCCCATGCACCCAAGGCATGGGGCACCCCAAGGACTGCTAGGGTTAGGGGGGGCTCTCCTGGCACAGCAGCACCCCAAGGACCCCCAGTGTTGATGACACACATCCCCATCCTCCCTGGGGCACCCTGCTTGTCGCGCTCCCCCCACAACTCCCAGCCCTCCCAAAGAGGCAACAGCAGCTCCTGCAAGCTGTGACCCTAACCCCGCTGCAAGGACAGGCAGGGGCAGGATTGGGGAGCACCAGGGAGGGCTTTTTTTGGTCAGTACCACCCAGGCAGACCCCTCCAGCACGGGGGGGAGGGCAGAGGGGGCACATTGCTCCCTGGACCAGCCCTGGGGGTGGCCAACGCTGCCCCAGTGCATGACCCCAGCCTGGCGAGGCACGGCACTTGGACAAGGCTGTATATTTAGCCATCCCCAGCCCGACCCTGTCATGCGAGCTGGGGGCCTGGCCCCCTGCCAGGAACAGCAGCTGGGAGTGTGGCCAAGCACGGACACCCCCGTCCTTCTGCAGGCCCCCGCCACGTGCAGGGTGAGGGACAAGCATGGGATCCCCTGCCCCAGCACCAATCTGGGAGGGCCAAACTGGTGCCGAGGATCCCCTCCTGAGTGGGTGCTGGGGGTGGGATGGGACCCCCCGGGAGCAGCAGCCCGTGGGGAGACAACCCGGCAGATCCCAGCTGCCCCCCGGCACACACTGAGCTGTGCATGGAGGCGCAGGCATTCCTCGGTGCTGCTGTCAGCTCCCCACTCTTCTCCTTTTTAGTCGATGCTGGTTGAGACTGCTGTGCCGGTGCCAGCCCCTGGCCCGTCCCACACACCCCCCCTCGCCTCAGGGATCACCTCCCTGGGCAAAACATTGGAGGGCTGGCTGAAGCAGGGTCCCCAGTGCCTCCCATCCCACTCGCAGCTTGGCCCCAGTCCCCATCACAACAGGGGGAGGCTGGCATGCTGAGCCCTCTGGGCTCTCTGCCCACCCCACGGCTGGCATTGCTTCGGGGACCAGTTGTTCTGGGGTGCATGCCGGGGTGGGGACCCATCCAGCACCCAATACACAGGGGAGGCGCAGCAGCTCCCCCCACCAAAGGGCCTGGGGGGGAATTCATGCTTTATAAAGATCCCTCTACATGTCTGGGTGCACCAAGGCCAAACCAGCCCCAGGCAGAGCGGCAGTGAGAGGCAATAGCCTGTCCCATCCCTGCTGTGCCACCATCAGCTCACAGAGTTCATGGAGAGGTTCTGAATAATTCAGCAGTCGCCTGCCTGTGGGCACCCCGCTCCGCGTACACCTGCATCGCCTCCAGCCAGCTCCAGGCAGACAGCCGGGACCCCCGGCCCCGTAGGCAGGGCCTACGTGGCAGCAGAGATCAGGATGGACCCTGGACGAGTGAGGAGGGGACACCCCAGACGCCTGCCACCGTGGGTCCCCATCCTGGCCCCCCGCCATGCCGTGGGGAGAAGGGAGGATGGGTTCCCTCGTGCTTCCTCCTCACTGAGCACCAGACAAAACACCTGGGCTTGGGGAGAGCCCATCCCAGGGTGTGGGAAGCATGGCTCCTCCAGCCCTGCGTGCCCTGGGATCCCCATCTAATGGCACCCCAGGTCCTCCCTGTGCCCACCACCCTGGCCACCCACCCCGTCACCTGCAGCGCCCGGCACTGCTGCCAGTCCCACTCGGGTGCCTGGGGGCTCCCTGTCCACACCTGCACCAGCAGGCAAGGGGCACCCCAACCCTATCCCCACCATCACTGCCTCCCCTCCACCCCATTCCTGTGTGCGGGGCAGCTGGAGGCAGCACCGGACACAGAAACGGGGCTTCCAGACAGGCTTTGGTGGCTGCATGGGCTTTAAGGAGGGGACCTGCCTGCCCAAAGCAGGGTGGGCAGCATCTCCCTTTGTCCCTCCAGCTCCTTGCCAAGGCAGCCAGAGCCCAGGCATGGCCAGCGGGACCCCCCAGCCCTGCCAAGTCCCCGGCAGTGGGTGCTGCCTAGCAAAGCCCAGCACTCCCGACCCAGCTGGCCAGGCAGCAGCGCTGCCTTCCCTTCCCACGCCGTGCGGGGCTGG